AAACAACCCCGAATCCCAAAGCAGCAAAGTTGCCTGGAAGCATGAAACGTAGCCTTGCTTTCGCATCAGGTCATCTATCACAGATGTACCTTTTTCATCCAAGCTTTGCCTGTGAGCATCCAAATTTTTGACGCACTCCCACATGATGGCCACCGGCTTCTTCGACCACTCCAGGCCCTTGATGAAGTTGTGGAACTCAAGGAAACTGCTCCCACTGTGTCCGCTAGCATCCACAATGCTCTTCGGGGTTCTGGTCTGGTTCGACACATCGTCACATTCCACACCAATGATAGCCAGGGATAGTGATGGCAGGGCTGCTGCCGGCACCGATCCCAGTTCTGAGGTGGGTCCATACACAGGCACTTTACCCAAATTGTGCCCCTGAGCTGCCAGCATCTTTTGCAACACCTCTCGCTTCCACTTGACATGTTCAGTGTAAAAACATGGTGTAACCTCCAGTGATATGTCATGGTCTTGCCGCAAGACTCTTTGCCACATCGCCTCAGGCAAAACTGGCATATCCAGCTACTGCTGCAGGCAAACAACATGAGTCAGTGCACTATCCCAGACAAGGAGCCAGCGACTGCGAACCGGTGCCCATGCCGGCACAGAATTCTGCAAACTTCACTTCATTCGCTGTGATTTTTTTCAGCTCTGCACTGGAAAGCACATTGTTCAGGAGGTAGCTTGCAAAATCGGTGCAAGATGAGCTTCTCAACCCGGGATTCTGCTGAGCATCATCTTCATGGTCCGAGCTGACTTGGTCTGCATGGTTTGCTTTTCGCTTCTTCTTGCCTTGCTTCTGCGCCCAGTCCTTTTCTGCTTGCTGTATGCGACGAGTTTCCGGACTGGCCGGAGCTTCTGATGTCTCTTGAGATTCTTCTTCAGAATGTCCTTGCTTTATTGACTTTATTGTCAGGAACACAAATATGAATAACATAGCTATGGCAAAGTCCTGTCTCAGTCGACTTCGGCTGGGGAGGTTCTCCAGAAGGTTCTGACGTCGACTCATCACTCATCGACATTGCAAAGCAATGCCACAATCTGTGCAGGATGAGGTTCTGAACCCGGCATTGCACTGAGTAAGCTCTTCATGAACTCCAATGGTCTGCATGGCTTTTCTTGTCTTGCTTCTGTGCCCAGTCCTGCTCTGCTTCTGTGCCTAGTCCTGCACTGCTCGCTGCATGCTTCAGCCAAAATTAAAGACTGCTCTGCAACAACGTTGCGCCAAAGATGTATAACCGAAGGCAAGCTCGGGCTCCGACTGGTGCTTCACTTCAGCTCCAAATCTGTACCTGGAGGATTCTCAAAACACTTCAACCCTGAACCCTTAAAGCGGCTCTGTGTTGCCAAGCACATGCACTGCCCTGGCTAGTTTTGCTCACAACAGTGGAGCCGAGTTGACAAGGTGACCCTGCGCCGTTTCCTCGGACCCAAGAGTCAGAAACTTTCCTGGGTTGAACTGTGCTGCTGTTCAAAGCTTGAACCCACCAGAGGGCCCCAGGATCAGGCAAACTTGCAGGGAAACAGTCATTGAGGATCCTGCGCCGTTTCCTCGGCCCCCTAGTGTCAGGGCAGCTCCTTTCGGAACAAGACCCTAATCTTACTTCTCAGGCCAGGCTTCAAGACTGAACCAGTGAGAGGGTCCAAGGCTCAGTGAAGCTGTCCAGGATCCGAACTGACTTCGCACACACTAAACATTTGAGCCTGCGCACGCTCGGATTTCCAACCTTGATCTGCAGTAGCTTAAGACTCTTTCCTGGTTTGAACTTTGCTGATGCTGTCAGGTTAAACCTTAGAAAGGCTGGTGGTGGCCTCTTTCTCTGTTACCCTCATGCTTTAACACAGCCCCTAAATGTACAGGACCCCGAATATTTGCCTAATGAAACAAGAACCATGCATAAAGACCACCACCCCGTGTAGGATCAGTGAGGCAGCCCAGGCTCCGAACTAACTACGCAGACATCCAAAATTGAAGACTTGACCCTGTGCCGTTTCCTCGGACCTCCAGAGGCACGAGCTTTAAGCTCTTTCCTGGGTTGAACTGTGCTGCTGCTTTAAGCTCAAGCTTGGCCGAGCTTGACATACTGGCCGCTCTTCAAACGCAGTGCCTCATTCAAAACCAAAGTCGGCTTCTTTGCTGTCAACTTTGCGTGCACCGGGTCGAAGGCAAACTTCCAGCTCCAGACAATGGAGGGGGAGAACTTCACATCCGCAAGGATCATCTCTCTTGCCTGAGCCGGTAAGAAGCAGGAGAACAAAACATGCAGCAAGACAGCAAGAAAGGCAGAATGGAGTAGGAACTTGCAGAATTGAACGGCTAACGCAGCAAAAGAAACAACATTTCCAGGAGTGGTCTTCTTCTCATCCTTGTCCCTCAAGGCGTAGAACCAATTCTCCGTCTTCTCCACATTCCAGCCGTGAGAGCCAGCGCCGGCTGGCTTTGTGGTGAACTTCCAGCCGGTGCAAAGGATCTCCTTGCTGGCGGTGGTCTTGTGCAGCCTGGGCTCAATTTAAGGTTTAGGGTTTAGGGTGTAGGGGCTCGGGTTTAGGGTTTAGGGTGAGTGTCCAACTCTAGGTCAGGAACTCCTTGAGGACCTGGTACAAGGTCGCCCTGTGCTCAATCGAGCCCTTCTTGACGACGCCTTCAACTTCGGCATCGTCCGAGCTTTGGCCGATTGCCACCTCAACCCAGGTCTTGTCACCCTGGTCAAGTTCAAAGCCGACGGAGTGGGCTCCTTGCTGCTGAGTCAGCTTCCCACCACCGCAGCCTGCGATTCTAAAGCCGCGCGGGAGGCTGAGGTCTGCAGTGGCCTTCAAGAAGTACTCACCGTTCTTCTTGATGATGAGGACCTTCGAGTTGTCGAAACTCTTGCAGTCGAGGTCAGGGCTCTCAATGGCGGCTGGGTCAGACAGTACCTGGATCTTGCCCTCTCCTGCCCCTGCTTCTCCTTGCTCATCTTCCCCTGGAACAACCGGCCTGGGATCCTCCGTGCTGGTGTCGTTCTGGACGGTGGTGCCGCTCTGGAAGCAACTCAATGCCTCGGACCAGTGCTCCAAGTGCTCCTCCTCCATGGCTTTGATCGCCTCAGGATGAGGTCTCAGGATTAGGGAAAGGGAGGAGCAATAAGTATGTATATATATATATATATATATAGATATCTGTGGATTAATGGCTCAGCTGCAGCACAGTTGCAGCCCGCACACTCGGAGGACCAGTTTGGAACTCAGCGACCTTCACCGGGTCCAGCATTGTCACATGGCCGCGCAGAACCTCAGCTATGTCTCCCTTCCTCTGAAGCTGGTTTCTCTCTGTTCTGTCTCTATACACTCATAATCTGCAGCAAGCAGCCAGGACTCGCAAACTCAGCTTGCCCAAGCCCTGGTAGGCCTCGTGGACTCCCGGATACTTTTTTAGCTCCAGCTCCTCTGCTTGAGTCAGGGTCTCATCCATCCTCGGCAGCACGGGCTTCAAGACATTGCTGGATTCCTGGCGCTCGAACAGCTGCAGCTGCTTGCTCAGCCATTTGGACGCAACCATTTGCGCCAACCTTTTCATGGCGAAGGCTGTGCCCTGGCCTGTACTGAAACTTGGAAACCCTGGCAAACATGAGCTTCTATGCTGTTTCTTGGGAACTCTGGTTTGCAAAAAAAAACATTACTTCCAAGTGCTTTCCAAGTGGCTCCCTGTGAACTCCAGGTTCCACACGCGCAAACGGCATGGGAGGTTGCCAGCCATTCTCAGTCGGCTGGCACCCAATGCCATGTCCCCTGCGAACGGGTGGCAATCCAGGACGTCCACCAGGTCTTCCTTCTTCAGGAAACCGGCGGGCTTCTGGTTGCCCTGGCTTTGGGTGCCAGCCGACGAGGCCAGCAACTGCACCAGCAGGGCTTCGTAGACAGCAGGTCCACGTTGGGAGGCTCGGACAACGGCGAGGCTTCTGAACCTGTGACAAGTGTGTTTTTTGGCACAAACCAACAACAGTTTTTGACCGAACGCCTGGAGACTTCGGTCTCCGAGTTCGATGATGCACTGATCACGTGCACCATGTCACCCGGGGAGGGCAAAGCAGCAACGGGCACTTTGCAGGTTCTCACCTCGGAAGTTGTAAGGCTGTCTCTCAACGGTCTCAATGTGTCATAAATGTCACTATCTGCACAGCAAGCAATGCCCAAGAAGCCAGGATTCTGCAGTCAAGTTGCAAGCAAGCTCTTGCCCCACATATTGGTTTCCAAGGCCTTCTTGATCGACGGGGCATAAAAGAAGATCCGGTACTGCACAAACGGGTCCGACGAGGTGATGTCGTGCCCCTCAATTGTCAACTCCTGACCAATTGTGAGAAACTTCACAAGAACACATAAAGACAGAACACTGAACTTAAGAGGAAGCTGTCATGTGGCTCCTGGGTGGCAGTGAGGCTGACAAAGTTCTCCTTCTTCATCTTTTGGACCAGGGCCCACTCGTCCTCAATGGGATCCTGGTTGCTGTCCTCCTTCGACCTCGTCACACAACCACAATACACTTCACGAAATACACTTCACAACACACCCTAGGCACCTGGTCGGTGTGGTCACCAGGATGAGGACTTTGTCGGCTCCACGGATCTTGGCCACACTGGCAGCAAGGCTCGGGTACCTTGTTTGCACTCACATAATAGCTTTCGAAAGGATGAAGAGTCAGTGCCCAGTCCGATTGCAGCACAAGAGCTTGTCCAGCATCAAGGCATTGCGGGCCTCTGGTCTGCAACCACAACATGGCATGGCCCACTCAAAAGAAAGCTCTGCTCAGGTAGAATATATTTCAAGCAAGAAGCCCCTGGGACATTCAAGTCAATCCGCACCACTGTGAGCTGGTTGAACTTGGCCTCCTCTGAGATAAACGCAGCCCCGGTGGCTGGAGGCGGACACAGCGGCACCTTCATCTCCTGAGTCTCAAAATGTTGAGTCTCATATTGCTGGGTCTGGAATCTGGAAAGCTGTCAAACATGCTTCTATGCTGGTCAAGTAGCAAAGTCCTTTTCCTGGTAGCAGGCCGCAGCTTCGCTCAAATTTCGGCAATTAAGCACCGGATGGAACCAGCCGGTGTACAGGCCAACCAGGGTTGTCGCACGCTCGATCTCCAAGCTCCGGCGTTGGTGCCGCATCCAGTCCAGCCTGGCAGTCACAAGCAAGGCTGCCTTGATCGGCCTGGCTGCTGGGCTGGATAAGAAACTATTAAGCCAAGGGACTGGTCACGCAAGACCTTGTGGCCGGCAGCCATGCTCTTCACAGCTTTCTGGTCTGCCTCCAGCTGGGCTCGGAGTGCTGTGACCTTGGCCTGCCAGACCTGGTTTTCAGCATCCTCTGCAGCTTCCTCGGCATCGGCATCGCCTTGTCTCAACTCCTCCGGGGCCCTGAGGTCGGGGATCATGGCCCGGTGAAAGATAGGCGGGAAGGAACTGGCCATGTTCTTGACCTCGGTCTAGGTCGTGGATTGCTGAGTATTAGCATCATGAGCACAAGTGAACCCTTAAACGAACAATCGAAACCTGACCTATCACTACAGAGCTCTTGCAGTACGTCCAACAAGCCCGACAACTCTCAAACTACCAACCAAAGTCAAAACGTTAGACAAGAAGCAGCGCTGTCCAAGGCCTGGCCGTTCACAACGGCTTGCTTGACTTCATGGAAGTCCTCTGCAGCCAGGTCCTTTCGACAAAATGAGGCTGGGGTTTAGGGGGTTCTTGAAGATTAGGGTTTGTCGGTTTCGGGCTTAGGGTTCACCGGCTCCTTTGTCAAGACCTCTTCCATGCTGCGAGACCACAGGCAAACCACCAGGCGGAAAACTTCAAGCTTCTCTTTGTCGGCCCGATGCCTGAGCAAGACAGGACATACAGGAAACCAGTCACCGAGCAAGACAGGACATACAGCACGTGCACTTGCCAAGACATGATGTTCTTCAAATTCGAGACACACAGCGCGGGACTGGGTCGCACCGAGGCTGGCAGTGTCCTTCTCAAAGGTCGTAATGATCTTCTCGATCAAGAGCTCAAACTCCCCTTTGGCCAGTGGACTGAGGAAGTCGGTGGCACAGAAGGCACTGCCAGTTGGCACCATCCGCATTGCAAGCTCCAATGCCTGCTAGCAGGGAAAGCTGCTTCAATTACTTGAATTTCTACATGGCCTTGCCTGTTGAGCAGCCAGTGACTGGCAGTCAGTCGGGCGCCAGCTTGGAGGTGTATCCGAGCCAGTGTACAGGAACTTCCAGGTCAGCACAGCGTCGCTGAGGGCAGAACTTGTTGCGCCCTGTGCCCATGACATGTGGCTGCTTGCAAGCAGCCAGGCCCTCTTTGTCCAGCCCATGAGGATGTTCTTGATGGCCTGCTGCCGCAAGGTGCCCAACTTCACTGACTCCTGGTCACCTGTTCCTTCTGTCTGGCCATCAGCTGACTGGGCAGGGGCTCTTCCAGCTCTTTTTCGTTTTTTCTTTGCCGGCAAGACCTCGATTCCTTCATTCTCGACCTTGTCGTTGTAGCCGGCCAGGATTCTGTTGAAAGAGTCCAGCCACGGCTTCCGGTCTGCGAAGTCCGACTCAAAGAGATCTGCCTCAACGACACCAGCCTGCGAGAGCAAAGGAATGAGGTGTGAACTCGGACATGCCTTGGTCTGAAACAGTAACTCAGTTATGCAAAGTCACAGGGTGGAGCGTGAGCAGAGTCAGGCTCACCCACTGTAGCACAGTCAATGGCTGCACCATGACTCCACGGGTGTTCTGCCGGTAGGCACAGCTGATGAGAAGCTCTTCATGAGTGCCCTCTGCCACATCCCAACCTGGAATCACAAGGGCTGCATGATCATCCTGGATGACAACATACCATTGCTTCACTGCTTGCTGCATGCCTCTCTGAAACTAGTAGCTTGTCGGCAGTGCCAAGAGAAGCAGAATCAGCTGCTTTGCAGACTCCGACTTGTAGCCCGGGATACACTGAGCCGCCATCTTTCCAAGCAAGTGCCACCTTGGATGTGAAGACTCTGGTGCACACAGGGTGGGATTCATCGTGTGTGTGCCATGGCAATGTGACCGTGCGCCCAAGATTTCCTTGACCGTGCGCCCAAGATTTCCTTGACCGTGCGTGCAGGGCACCCTCCATGTTGGGGCCCCAGATGTTCGGGCACTCTCAGTGCCCGCACGCACAGGGCACCCTGCATGTTGGGGCCCCAGATGTTCGGGCACTCTCAGTGCCCGCACGCACAGGGCACCCTGCATGTTGGGGCCCCAGATGTTCGGGCACTCTCAGTGCCCGCACGCACAGGGCACCCTGCATGTTGGGGCCCCAGATGTTCGGGCACTCTCAGTGCCCGCACGCACAGGGCACCCTGCGTGTTGGGGCCCCGGATGTTCGGGCACTCTCAGTGCCCGCACGCACAGGGCACCCTGCATGTTACATGCACAAAGGTCATGAACTCTGGCCGTGCGTGTGCAGGGTATGAGGCTAACATGCCCCGTGAGACTGGGCACTCTGAGTGCCCGCACGCACAGGGCACTTTTGGCCGAAGCTGTTTCATGGGACTTCGCCGATTGGAGCTTCGGCCAACATGGCCCACGAGACTGGGCACTCTTAGTGCCCGCGCGCACAGGGCATGTTAGCCTCATACCCTCTGTGTGTTCGGCTGGACAGCATGACCGCACGCACAGGCCATGTTGGAATCATACCCACGCAATGAACAACATATATACAGCCGAGGTACAGCCAGGCGGCTGCCAGTCCTCTCTTGACTCCGTCAGCAAAGAGAAGCCGCTTGGCACTCATGCAGGCCGGCTGTTCCCGCACGGACAACATCTCCCCTTGCATCCATCCAGAAGTTGCCATCGACCTTGCCTCAGCAAACATGAAAGAACAATGTATATGTAACCATGCCTCTGCTCCTCACTAGACTGTCTGAGACAAGAATCGATGCCGCAGATCTTCCATGCCTCTGGTTCACCTGACCAGCAAGACGCTTTGTCCAAGCGCCAGTTCAGCACTGTTGTTGTCCTTACATCGGCAAAACAAAGCTGACATGATAAGACAATCGTTTCAGGCAACTAGCAGACATGTCTGCATGAATTGTTGTTCAGTGTCGTGCCAACCGCTGACAGCAGCAATGCTGCATCTGTTCGAACAAGTCCCAGCACTGCTTCTGTCATCCTCTCGATCTCTGCCACTGGGTCAGCTGGACAGGGCAGCTGCTCGATGTAATCCCGCAAGGAAGCCCTCTGCTCGAAGAGTTCCTCAGCTAAGCATGATTCCTTGCAATCCTTATATCACTTACAGCCTGTGCCACCAAATGTCATTCTGCACCCGGTTGATCTCATCAAAAATGAAAGTCTTGAAAGCTGCATCCATGGCAACTATGCTCCCCTTCTCAGCAACAAATATCCACACAAAGTCCTGAATGTCTGACTGTATATATTGAGACTGGCTGAACTAGCACATGACACAATTGCACTCAACACATATACTCCCCTTGGAGCAACAAATATCCACGCAAAGTCCTGCATGTCTGACTGTATATATTGAGACTGGCTGAACTAGCACATGACACAATTGCACTCAACACATATATGTCTGACTGCTCTTCTTGAAGGGAAATGGCTGAAGCAGCACATGACCCTAATGACCCCAGGGCCCAAACACTCAAACATCACAAGAAAATGAACAACCGGAAACCATGAACTGCTGAACCCAAAGGTACATCTTGGAAGACTACATGGCACAGCAGTATGGGGCGCGGCTGGGTGGTGGAGCTGCGATGACCTTAAGCAAGCAAGACGAAGAGATAACTGAGCAAATCGCTGAATAGGCATGTGAAGCTTCAGTGCCGTGCTCTGCAATCTCTGAACAGGCATGTGAAGATTCAGTGCCGTGCTCTGCAGGGTAGCCAAGGGGTCCAGGAACCTGAAACAGCAAGGACAAGGGAAAGTGAACGCAATGCCAAGGTAAGGTGAATGCAATGCCGTACAACAAACAAAGGGCGCAGCACATATCCATTCCGACCGTGAATGAGTGCCGCACTGTGAGTTGCAGGAAGCCCAAGAACCTGGTCAGGAAATTAAGCCTCACTCCCTTGCTTCCAACGAACGGCCCAAGGCTCTCAGCGTCCAACACAATTTTCCGCACTTCAGCATCAGCTATCGTATGGCTGGTACCGGTGACACAAAAGCATTAAAAAACGCTCCTTCTGGTTTGGGCCTTCTTGGCCGCGCTGCAGCCCACAAAGGAGCCGCCGATAGCGAGATGGAATCCCTAACCGGCCTCTTGCTAGGCCTGGGACCGCACCAGGGCCTGGTCAGTCAAAAAAGCCGGTACGGATGACACAAATGCAAGTAACGCTCCTGGCCCTGGTCTTGGCCTTCTTGGCTATGCCCCAGCCCAGACATGACCCGCCGAAAGCGAGGTGGAAAACCCTGCCATACCCCAGGGCCTGGTGCTGGCCCTGTCCAGGCCGGTGTCCTTGGCTGTCTGCTGCACACTTCCAAAAAGTTTAACTTTTAAGAATATGAAGTCCCAAGAGCCAGCCCAAGGAAGCCAAGAGTCGGTGGAGGAGGCCCTGCCGCTTTGAAGACAGGAATCCTTGGCTGACTTCTGAACCCCTGTTAACTTTTAGGCTCCTTGTTACTAGTTTCAATAAAAAGGTAGCCAAGAGTCGGTGGAGGCCCTGCCAGGCCTGCTCCAGCAGCCACTGGTCCGGGCCCTCTCCAGGCAGGAGTGCTTGGTCCTTATTACGAGTAGGTTAAAGAAGAAAGCCAAGAGTCGGTGGAGGCCCTGCCAGGCCTGCTCCAGCAGCCACTGGTCCAGGCCCTCTCCAGGCAGGAGTCCTTGGCTGACTTCTGAACCCCTTTCAACTTTTAGCTTCAATAAAACGGTTAAAGTCGCAAGAGGCGGCCAAACGAAAGCCAAGAGTCGGTGCAGGAGGTCCTGCCAGGCCAGCTGCTGCTCCGGCTGGCGCTGGTCCAAGCAATGTCGAGGCAGGCATCCTTGGCTAACTTCTGAACCCCTCCGAAAAAGTTTAAGTTTTTGTAGGATCCAAAAAAAAATCAAGTCCCAAGAGCTGGCGAGAAGAAAGCTAAGAGTCGGTGCAGGAGGCCCAAGAGGGACTGCTGGACCGGTTGCCATGGGCCGTGTCATCCTCGTCCTAAAAAAGTTTAAGTGTTTTTCGGGCTCCAAAACAAAAAATAAAGTTCTGAGAGCTGGCCAGAAGAAAGCCAAGAGTCGAAGGCCCCAGAGGGACTGCTGGACCGGCTGCCCTTGCTGCGGGCCGTGTGGGCCGTGTCGTCCTTGACGAACTTCTGAACCCCTCTTAAAAGTTTTTTTTTTTAGGCTCCAAAACAAAAACTCAAGTCCAGAGAGCTCGCCAGAAGAAAGCCAAGAGTCGAAACACCTGCAATTGCACTTGCCGGCAGGGCTGCCATTCCCCCAGGGCTTGTGAAAGGACTTGACAACCTGGGCTGACTCCCCAACAAAGTGTAACTTGCAGGCTCCTTATTGCAGTTTCTACAAAAAAACCCTGGGCTTGTAAAATCACCTGACAACCTGGGCTGACTTATAACCCCTCCTAGAAGTCTGACTTTCAGGCTCCTTATTGCAGTTTAAGTCACAAGATCCAGCCAGAAGAAAGCCAAGAGTCGGGGACTTCTGAACCCCTCCTTAAAGTTTAACTTGTAGGTTCCTTGTTCAAAAAAAAGAGTTGAAGTCCCAAAAGCCAGCCAACAGAAAGCCAAGAGTCGGTGGAGGAGGGCCGCCAGGTGCAGGGCCTCGAACTGGTCCTGGGCCAGCTGCTGGGCCAGGAGGGGCCATCGGCTGGTTGAACGGTGTGGGCGGGGGAGGCCCAAGCGCCGCCGGTGCCCTTGGCACCATTGGGTGGATGGGACGAGGGTTCGGCACTCCAGAAATTTCGTCGACTGCATCAACGCCATCCACTGCGTCCTCCTCGATGTCTCCATCCACGCGGTCCTCCTCCTCGCTGCTGCTGCTGCTGCAAGTGACAATTCTGCGTCGGACCATGATCACTAGCTCACTGTCTACTGTTAAAATTCTGAGACATGCAAACCCTGTGCTATTTTTGCTTCTACATTTTGCTTGCTCTCTGATCACAAGTTCACATGAGTAATGGTCCAAACCTCTACATGCGGTGGCGGCAGGACCGTGAAACTAGTGAAGTCTTTCGACTTGAGCACTGTTGCAGCTGCTCAACATCATTGCCTCTTCAGCTGAGTTAGTTCACACTGCGCCAAAAGGGCTGGGGACTAAAACCGGCAGGGCACTTGCATGACGCCACAGGCCCCGGACACACCACCACCACCACCACCAGACAGCGGAGCCTGGGCGGTCTTGTGTCTTCAGGTCTTTCTTTAAAGGGCCGGGGATTGTGCCAGGAGTGCAAGGTTTAGGGCTTAGGGTTGAGGGTTTAGGGTTTAGGTTTAGGCCGACCCTAAACATGGCAAGCAGCGTTCGGGTCACTTGCGAGGAACTGGAGCAAGGTCACACGATCGGTCCTGAGCCGAGGCAGGGCTATATACCACTCGAAACAGCGATCACATGGAATTTCGCTGGCTGCCGGCATGCACATGTTTCTTCGAAACGCTGGCTGTAGCTTTTTTTTCCTCCTTGCTTGCTGCCGAACTCCAAAAGGTTGGTGTGTACAGGGAGCTCGTTCAACAACACGATACTCTATACAAAAATAGAGGGCCTCCTTCTGTTTCGCAGCAACGCGAGACATGGAATATCGGACAGTTTAAACTTTATTGTTTTTTATTTTTTGGTCCGCGGTGCTGCTTGCCCTCACTTACCCTTGGTGAAACCCCAAACGGTTGACCAGATCGATCAGATGGGCCACTTTGCGGTCCAGCTCGTCGATCTTTTGCTCGAGCCTCCGGACGTCCGTCGCCCCTGCTGAGCCTGACGAGGTCGAGGCTGTGGGACCATCATCCGTTGGAGGACTCGGTGGCGGGGCCTTCGTCCTGACAACTGTCCTTGGGCCGCTCGGCCCTGCAGCAATGCTCGGCCCTGCAGCAAAGCTCGGCCCTGCAGCAATGCTCGGCCCTGCAGCAACGCTCGGCCCTGCAGCAACGCTCGCCCCTGCAGCAACGCTGGGCCCTGGTGTGCTGTTTGGGGGACTCGGCGTCGGCGTGGGCTGCCACCATTGGGATTTCAGCGCCCTGCACGCATCAAAATCCAAACCAAAGTTGCCGGGGTCATAGGTGTGGCCGTTCCCCTGGTTGGTCTGGCACCTGGCAGGGGAACGAGGACTGCTCTCAACGACATGTTGCAAGCCGCATTATATATATATATATATATATTACTATATACATGTCTGGATACCGGTTATTGCATGAAACTGTAGCCAAGGAACTCGATGCAAAGGGTCATCCCGCCTTTTTGCTGAATCCAGCCTATCCTGAGGGCATGGCACTCAGCACGGGAATCGACCCTCCCCTTCGTAACCCAGCCACACAAGTCGCACTGCAACCCGGTGCCGGACCATGGCATGGTGTGGTGGCAGGACCGTGACACTAGTGAAGGCTTTTCACTTGAGCACACAGCTGCTCAACATCATTGCCTCTTCAGCTGAGTTAGTTCACACTGCACCAGAAGGGCTGGGGACTAAAACCGGCAGGGCACTTGCATGACGCCACAGGCCCCGGACACACCACCACCACCACCACCGCCAGACAGCGGAGCCTGGGCGGTCTTGTGTCTTCAGGTCTTTCTTTAAAGGGCCGGGGATGTTCTAACTTTCCGGCCCGCGGTGCTGCTTGCCCTCGCTTCCAAGTCTGTATATATGTACAACACCCCTGTGCTGTTACAGCAGCCGCTTCGATCTTGCTCTCGACCTTTTGAACTCCTTACCCTTGCTGAATCTCCAAGCGGCCGACCAGTTCGATCAGACGGTCAACTTTGCGGTCTAGCTTGTCAATCTTGCTCTCCATCTCGAGCCTTTGGAAATCCGCCCCTGACGAGCCTGACGAGGCCGTGGGCAGATCATCCGTTGGAGGCATCGGTGGTGGGGCCTTCCTAACTGTCCTAACTGCAAATCCAACGGGGGACTCGACGGAGGCTGCCACCATTCGGATTTCAGCGCCCTGCACCGCTCCATATCCAGACCAAAGTTGCCGGGGTCACAGGTGTGGCCGTTTCCATGGTTGGTCTGGCACCTGGCAGGGGAACGAGGACTGCTCTCAACGACATGTTGCAAGCCGCATTATATATTACTATATACATGTCTGGTTACCGGTTATTGCATGACACTGTAGCCAAGGAACTCTATGCACAGCGCCGCCTTTTTGCTCCCTACCCTTCGTAACCCAGCCACACTTGTCGCACGTCAAACCGGTGCCGGTCCAGGGCATGCTGTGGCGGCAGGACCGTGAAACTAGTGAAGTCTCTTGACTTCAGCACTGCCTTGTCTTTGAATCCAGCCTATCTTCTGGTTGTGGCAGTAAGCACGGCAATCGACCCTACCCTTCGGCTCAGATTTCCAGAGCCGTTCAGCATAAACCAGCCTAACCTTACTTCTCAAGCTGAGCCTTGCGGCTCAACACCCAAGCCCTACGAGGCCAAGAGCTTCTGTTGTGACCTTTGATCCATCCAGTATGAAGGTGAACCTCTCAGCACAATGCCTGTGTGATCTTACTCTCAGGCTGAGCCTTGCCTAGGGCAATCTTTTCTCTCTTCGGAATGCATTTTCACAACAGAACCCCTCATCGGATCACAGGGCAGCTTTAACCCTGCATGCACAGCCAGAGGGACATACAAGGTCTCAACTTGTGCTTATACATGACTTAGTCGGCCCTGCTAGGGATCGGCGATATACCCTGCTGCCTCTGCTGTGTACAACCTGCTTTCAGCAAGCGAGTGAGCGGCTGATGCCTGTGTGATCTTACTTATCAGGCTACGCCTTGCGGCACAGAGCCTGCAAACCCTGCACCCTAAGCCCTTCTAAAATCTAAGGTTCCCTCATTTTCACTGACATCTTCGGAAAGATTTCTTCGGCCGCTCACAGGTGCTGCCCCAATGGAAGCCCATCATATCAGCCTCACTCCTTGCCCAGGCGTACTGCCTCCGCCCAAGCTTCTCGAAGGCTCTGGTACCTTAGCTGTTCTTGAAAAGCAGAAAAAAACTTGCTGCAAAGCTAGCTTGCTTGCTTCTCTTCAAACAGGGTCAAGAAACTTCCCCCAACCCAAATGGTAGGCTCCGGAAGCATTGGTCTTCACCTGTTCAGAGTTTTGCTGTACATGCTCGAGAGGGTATACAGGGCTATGACTTATGGGCTAGGGTATAGTTAGGGATAGGGTTTTGCTGTAGAGCACATCCTTCCTGCCTTGTCCTTGTGAGTCTTGGCAACCTTGTTGATGAAGAAGGCCCGCTTGTGCACCAAGACCTGGATGCTGCAACAGTCCTTCGGGTACTCGGTCCAGCTCCTCAGCACTGGCAATTGGTTGTGTTGCTTTGGGCTTCGAGCATTCAGGGATTCTTTCTTCTTGCAGCTCACCTTGAATGAGCTTTAGGGATTTTGGTTTACAGTTTAGGTTCTGGGGTTTGGGGGGGGGGGGAAGTGGCTATCAGGTACGGCGCAAAACACCCTAAGCCTGAATACTTAAACCCAGAAAAAAAGTGGCTGAATCTTGCAAAGTGTCTTCTGGTGGAAGTTCTGCACGGACTCTGGAACCGACAGAAACTCCTTCAAGACTGCCACAGCTGAAACGGTTGCAGCCGAAGGTGTGGCTGCTGCCGAAGAACCCTGCTGGGGTGAGGCTGCTGCCGAAGAACCCTGGTCGGGCGAGGCTGCTTGCAAAGCCAAAGGTGCGGGTGCAGCCAAAGGTGCGGGTGCAGCCGAAGAACCCTGGTCGGGTGAGGCTGCTTGCAAAGCCAAAGGTGCGGGTGCAGCCAAAGGTGCGGGTGCAGCCGAAGAACCCTGGTGGGGTGAGGCTGCTTGCAAAGAACCCTGTGGGGAGGCGACCTTGGCTCCCATGACAACTGGCCCACTGTAAAGCTGCTGCACTGGGCCATCTTCAATGCACAGTGGGAGGTCACTCCCAAGGGCTTTGTCCAGACACTCGAACAAGTCTGTCACCTCGCCGCCCTGGAACCAATCGCTCTTCACCTCACCCTCTAACAAGTCGGACTTGGACTCCTTCACCTTGCTGCCCTGGAACAAATCGTCGTTCACCGCCGATAACTTTTCAGGGCTCGGAGACAGTGGCTCCGGACTCGACTCACCTGATGCCTCCTCCTGCATCATAGTGAACCTGATGCTTCTCGGGGCTAGCTTCTTCGGTGCCTTGTAAGCAGCTGCAGGTTCTTCAGCCTCGTCCAAAGGCCGTTTGCCGGTCATAAAGGCCGACATGACCCCTTCAGCAATCATGCTGCCAACAGGTGAAACCACAAAGCAACTTGAGCAACAAAACCCTGCCAGCGATGCAACTTGCAACATCACAAGACTAGCACATCTGTCAATATCTCTTGCACTCTGCCAGCAATGCAGCGAGAAATGTCACAACACTACATATCATCTGTCAATATCTGGTGTCTGCATGTGTGAAAGCAGTGTTTGTTAGCCCCACTTTCTGAGCCCCTCTTGACAGCCAAAGTCAGTTCGCACGAGGTCTCTTGAGCGGGTTCACTAAGAGACTATGCACAGTGGCCGATCCACGCAGGTGAACCATACGACCGCTGGTCGTGCAAAACTTCATGGTTTCCTTCTCCAATCGGCTGAATGCAGAAACATGCTGGAACAAGGCTCTACGCAGCTCATAAAGTCGCATGGAATGTTCTGCTTCCACAGTCGAAATGACCTGGCCGGACATGAGGCTCATGGAAATCTGCACCTTGCGGTCGGCACCCTGTTGCAAGTCAAGTGTCATGATAATCTGCAGCACCTCCTCCACAAAAATTGTGTGCTTCGAGCTGCGGTGGGACAGAAGCCACTGCCGCCCTTTGTCGGTCATCATGGTCTGCAAAACTGTGAATTGGAGGCGACAGTGATTTGGCGGATGGAAACTCAC